GCAGCAGCAGCAGCAGCAGCAGTTAGTGTACGTCATGCAGCAGCAGCACCAAAGCTGAAACACTGCTGCTGCAGCGGCAAAGCCGCAGCAAAACGACGCAGCAACAACACAGCAGCAACTGACACAGCAACAAACAAGAGAAGCGGCAGCAGCAAAGTGCAACAGCAGCCAGCACGCTCTGCTGCTGCTGCTGCTGCTCCTGCTGCTGCTCCTGCTGCTGCTGGTCCTTTCCGTACACGCCAGGCAGCACCTAACAGCAGCAGCAGCTACCGCTGCAGCTGATGCAGCAACTACACCAGCCAACAGCGCCACCACCACGAGTCACCAGCAGCAGCAGCAGCAGCAGCAGCAGCAGCAAAGTGGCCTTACTGCACGTCAAGGAAGTGGTTGTAGAGCTGCTGGTAAGACTTCGGGAGGACAGTGAGACACGGAGAGTGCTGCAGCGCGAAGACCGCCAGGCAGCAGTTGCTGCTGCTGCTGCTGCTGCTGGAGCGCTGCCAGAGCAGCAGCGGCTTTGCTGCAGTGACCTGCAGCAGCTGCTCGAAGTCCAGGGGAAGCATTCGGCGAGTGAGGGGCTGGAAGTAAAAAGAATGAGCTCTGAAGAGTTCAAGTAATTCTTCCTTTTGCTGCTGCGCTGCTTTCGAGGGGCTCTGCTGCTCCTGCAGCTGCTGCAGCTGCTGCAGCAGCTGCAGCAGCTGCTCGTGCGTGTTCTTCTCGCAAACCACTACGGGGCAGAGGCAGCTGCCAGCAACCAGCGACGGGGGCTGTGCTGCCATTGCATGCACCATCTGCAGCAGCAGCAGCAGCAACAGCAGTCGCAGCAGCAGTAGCAACAGCAGCAGTAGCAGCAACAGCAGCAGGAGTGGCAGCAGCAGCAAGGCCTGAGGGTCCCCGTAAAGCATGTGTGTGAAATGTGTGTGTGCATGCATCTGCTTCGAAAAGCCCTGCCCCGGAGCTTCTGAGGGTTTAGGGTTTAGGGTTTAAGGTCTAGGGTTTAGGATTTGAAGCCTAGGGTTTAGGGCTTAGGGTTTGACTCGCTTGCAGCTCGTCCAAAACATTCGCAAGGGCCTCTGTCTCCTTTGTTGCTTCCTCCTCTTCAGTTTCGTCTTCCTGTGGCGCATGCAAGCAGCAGCAGCAGCATCAACTGCAGCAGCAGCAGGTGCTGCAGCAGCGGCAACTGCAGCGGCAACAGCAGCTTCTGCAGCAAAACCAGCAGTAGCGGCCGCCGCAGCAGCTAAACTAAGGTGCGTAGCAGCGCCGCCAGCAGCAGCAGCAACACCAGTGGCAAAGGCAGCAGCTCAACCGCCTGCAGCAGCAGCAAGATCAGCAGCAGCAGCAGCAAGACCACCGACAGCAGCAGCGATAGCAGCGAGATAACCCAACAATGGTAGCAGCAGCAGCAGCAGCAAAATAACCAGCAGGGCAGCGAGCAGCAGCAAGATGACCAGCACTGGCAGCGACAGCACTGGCAAGATATGCAGTAGCTGCAGCAGTACCAACAAGACCAGCAGCAGCAGCAGCAGCAGCAGCAGCAGCAAGGACGTACTCCCCCGAAGAGGAAGGCCTCGAGAGAAGAGGGCAGCGGCAAAGTCTCGAGGAGACAGTCGCATTGAGCATCTGCTGCATAGGGCTTGAGAGACGCCAGCAGCTCATCCAGCGTACCAGCAGCAGCAGCAGCAGCAGCAGAATCTGCTGCTGCTGCTGCAGGCGGACTCCTCAGGTAGCCAGAAGGCAGCACGGGACACGAAAGGTCTCCAAAGGCACTCATCGAATCCGCGTTTTCAAAAGGCAATTCGCTGCAGCACACGCATGCAAACCTGCTGCTGCTGCTGCTGTTGCTGCTGCTGCTGCCGTTGTTGCTGCTGCTGCTGGTTGTTTTGTGTTTCTCTTCTTGCTGCCGGCCAGGGCCTCTCCCGTGCTCGTTTGCTTCTTAATTATTTATTTAATTTATTTGAATTTAATTAATTTGAATTAATTAAATTAATTTAAATTAATTTATTCATTTACTTTTTAACTTAACTTGTTTGATTATCTTCAACTGCATCTCTGGAGCACAAGGAGCTCCCCGTCTCAAACAAAAAAGATGTAATTAGTTTGCTCAATTAACTAATTAATTATTTGATTAATTCAAAGAAATAAATAAAGAAATAAATAAATAAATAAATAATTCTTACTGCTGCGGGTCAATTGCGCGCAGCAGCAAATGGACTTTCTTCAGCCACGGGACCAATCCAGCAGCAGCAACTTTCAGCAGCACTCCATTTCTTTCTTCTTCTGTCAAAGCTCCTTCGCTGCTGCTGCTGCTGCAGCTGCTGCTGCTGCTGCTGCTGCTGCCTGCTGCTGCGGGCGCGAGGCCCTCCATCAGCGGGTAGGGGGGCGCAATGGCGTCGAGTTGAGCTGTCGATACACCTGGAGTGCATGCAGCCCCAAAACCCCACATTTGTTTTCTCGTTTTTTGCTAAATAAAATCATTTTTACGCATTTCTTTTTGTTTGCTGCTTAGCTGCTGCACTATTTGCTGCTTGCTGCTGCAGTATTTGCTGCTGCTGCTGCCGCTGCTGTTTGCTCTTTTAATTGCTTCCAGAAGTGCCTTCTTATTGCGCAATAAAACCCAAGTTGAATTTAAAATCATAAAATGTAAATAAATGTATTTAATATATTTTCAATTTAACTTATTATATTTGTATTTATATTTATATTCATATTTTATACCTATAATTATACTTTCTCAATTTAATTTATGATATTTACATTTATATTCATACTTATATATTTATATTTATATTTTTACTTTTATTATATATTTATATTTTTTCAATTTATTATATTTGCATTTATCATTTATATTTTATTCATTTATAATGAAGCAGACATTGCAAGTGTACGTACACCCCATGCACAAAGTTGCAAATATACAAAATAAACAAATGTAAATAAAAACAAATAAATACAAATAAATATAAACAAATATAAATAGATATAAATAAATATAATAAATATAAATAAATATAAATATAAATAAATACAAGTATATAAACTTCTATAATACTAATTGTGCAGCTTCAAGCAAAATCTGCAAATATATTTATGTAGTTGCACGGAAATTCGTGCAGCAGCAGCAGCAGCAGCAGCAACGGGCGCCGGGTGTATGTACAGCAGAGCTGCGTATACACCTGAGAGTCCTTCAATGGTCAGGGGCTGCCTTCTTTTGCCTCCTTCTTTTTCAGCAATTGCATGCGCTTCCTGCTGCTCCTTTGCTGCAGCAACCTGCAGCAAATACGTCTCCACCCCCCTGATGCCCCTGCTGCTGCTGCTGCTGCTGCTGCTGCAGCTGCTGCTGCTGCCGCCCTCGCCGCTGCTGCCGCCGCTGCTGCTGCCGCTGCTGCCGCCCCCGCTGCTGCTGCTGCTGCTGCTGCTGCTGCTGGGCCTGATGCGAAGTGCTGCTGCTCCCAGCTGCAGCCGCCGCTGCGGGTGCGGCAGCCTTTTGGCCAGCAGCCGCAAGTCATCTGTACATACACCCTGCATGCTGCGGCCCCGAAGGGCAGCAAGAGCTTTGCTGTCGTCTTCAGCAGCAAGTTTTTCTGCTGCTGCTGCTGCTCGCCACGCCCGCACCCGCGAGAACGCATGCACCCACTCCTCCCCTGCTGCTGCTGCTGCTGCTGCTGCGGGCGCGCCCAGGGAGGGGGAAGCTGCTGCAGGCCCACGCAGCGAGCTTCCTGGGGACCCTCCTGCTGCTGCTGCTGCTGCTGCTGCTGCGCCTGTGGGGCCGCTGTACTCCATTTGGGACTCGCCGTCGCTGGTGAAGCTGTCGCTGCGGCGGGCGGCGTCCCCGTGCTGCTGCTGCTGCTGCAGCTGCCGCAAGTGCTGCTGCAGCAGCTGCAGGTGCCGGTGCTGCAGCTGCTGCTGCTGCTGCTGCTGCTGACGCGGGCTCTGACGTTCCTCAGCAGAATCGTAGCCCCACCTGCTTGTGCTGCTGCTGCGGCTTTGGCCTGCTGCGCTGCGCTGCTGCGCCAGCAGTGCCTGCTGCTGCTGCTGCTGCTGCTGCTGCTGCAGGTTTTGCTGCTGCAGCTGCTGCAGTTCTGCGACGAGCTGCTGAACACGCCTAGAGTCTCGTGCTTCTGCTGCTCCGAAGATGTCCCTGCTGCTGCTGCTGCTGCTGGCTGCCTGGCTTTCAGCTGCTGCAGCTCTCGCTGCTGCATAGGTGGCTTCAGTTATCTGGGCCCGCGCTGCTGCTGTCTCCGGATCAGGCGTAGCGGCTGCTGCTGCTGCTGCAGTCGCTGCTGCTGCTGCTGCTGCCACAGTAGCAGCGCGCTCTGCTGCTTCGGCGGCCTGGCGGAGGGCAGCAGCAACAGGACTGTCAGCAGCAGCAGCAGCAGCAGCACTCCCGGGACTTGAAGATTCTTCTACAAGTTCTCTTCCGACTCTTTGTCTTTTTGCTTCCGCGTGGTGGCGAGAGGCGGACTCGCGCTGTTGCCGCTGCCTGTTGCTGCTGCTGCTGCGCTGCTGCTGCTGCTGGTCTGCAGCA